GAAGATGGAGAAAGCAAAAACAGTAAATTTGCTACAGTTCTTAGTTTTGAGAATCTTGCTTTTCCTGTCCGCTCGCCCAGGAAGTGGGCCCTGCGTGCGGACACCGAGGAGATTGGTCTCCAGATCAACCTGGGATGCAGATTAGTTAGGAACCCAGAGTGTGTGCAGAATGGTCCACAGGATGTGGAAAGAAAAGTGTGGCAACTTTAATTTCTCTTTATTTTGATCTCTTCCTTTAAATTAATTTTTTGGTGTGTTTTATGATGTACATAACGTATTCGTAGAGTATTACAAGCACGTAAGTAAAATAAAGGGGTATACATATGGCAGAGAAAAACAATGCTCACGTTCGATGCACTTCGAACATGCATAGCAGACACTGATTATTGTCAATGATTAGGGAGCAAAGCTTAGTAACGTGATCTTCAGTCCTTCTTGAGGTCCTGCCTTGCTGACCACGCAAGATTGTTTTTGCTTTTAAAAAGACTTTCATCTTATTATTTGCAGTTCAAGAACATACTGACGTGCACTTCCCTTTCCTCATCTACAAAGGCAAAGTCATCCTCAATCAAGCTGTAAAAAATCTTTTGGAGATAAGATTTGCTGTTTTCTGGAAGCTTCTACTGCCACATGGTCACGTAAGACTTCTTGGGAACTAGACAAGGCGTAAACATGTTCTACTTTGTGGGTCACGTGGTCTCGGATAGCTCAACAGCTCAAGTCTGCTGCTACGTGTGAAAACAGCCTCAGGGGAAAGAAACAAGGGCGTGACTGTGTCTCAGTGATTCATGTACACAAATTAATAAAGGATTCAGGCTGGATTTTGTCCCAGGCTGGAGTACGCCGACCACTGTATTAGACGAGGAGGCTGTATAGAAGGTTATTGCTTTGATTGGGGTGGCTGACCCTGATCCCCTAAGGGAATTAGGTTTGCTTCTAACAGCGGGCCTGGGAGGAGTGTGACGAAAACCCCAGAGTCCCCAAGACGTGTCTTGAATCAACACGCCACTGGGCCCGGAGACCAGAGGAAGGCTACAGCCACTCCATACAAGCAGCCCCTCCAAGAGGTAGGGTCCTTCTAGAACAAAGGGCTGGTTTTCCTCCCTGGGCAAAGAACACCAGCCAGCCTAGGTACGTGCTGGTCCTGGGACCAGACATAGCATTTGGAACTGTAGCCTCCATCCGTATTACCTCTCTTGTTCTTGAAGTGTCTGAAGACTGAATTATCTCCTTTTCCTTTATTTCCCTTTGAAAATGACTGTGCTCAGAATTTCTGTCTTCCCTCTTTCTTTCCCCTAATACTAGAAGGCAGTGTTTACCAAGCTTGAGTGTCACCCGGGGGGTTGGCTGCACCTTTAGATTCTATGTCATCATGTAGGCTGAAAGTCACCGGATAGAAGGACACGGTGCAGACAGCACTGGAGGAGAAATGGGAATTTCACTACTTTAAGATGGAGGACTCCGTCCGTCATGCTGACATCCTTAGTGGTGATGCCTGGACATGATGCTGGGGAAGCAGCAAGGACTCTTACCACTGTGTGTAGGGTGACTGGACCGAGTTCAATGAGGGAATCTTCGTAAAAGTGGGAGGCTGTGTGTGCACACACGCTGGGCGGTGGACAAGGAGGGTGTTACGGGTGCCTGGAGAGCTGCCAACTGCGCCTCTTCTCCAGGAACTTCTGCTCACTTCCTGGGTGGGTTCTTGGTTACTTTGCTTTTGCTGCATGGTCCTGCCTCCCAGCCCCCCAGTAACCGATTGGTTCCGAGATCCCAACTGGGTTGATCAGAGGTCCTACGATGAGGAAGCTGGAACGGTAAACGGAGAGACACGAAGACTAGGAAATCTCTGGACCTCCGTGAATTCTTGCTGCCAAGCCCCCCAGAACCAGCCTGGTTCCTTCCCTTCCTGAGTCCTGAGCATTCAGCTCTTCTTTGAATTCTGTAAATACACCCAAATCCTTCCAATAAATTGTCTTCCTTGTTTTAAAAAAAAGAGGGGGGGGGAGTAAAAGGATGGGGACCAAAAATGGATTCAGAAACCAGGCTAGAAATGTATCCCTTAATGCCCCTCATACACATTTGGTTCTAAGATTTCCAGCAGGCAATGCAGACAGGGAAAATTGGGTCGTTACGTGATCAGTGTCTATCACAGACAAAAACAATCGAGTTGCTCAGAAGTACAGCTATTCTTGGTACCGAGACAGGAAATTTCTCCCAGGGGGCTCGTGTGACAAATGGCATCTTCACGACATCTTTCCAACGGACGCAGCGGGTTTCATAGGTAGCTGCTTATCCAGACCCTCCACGCAGGCCGCTGCCGTTACTCTCAAGCTCAATCTTGTGAAACCAGTTCTGGGGCAGCGGGAGCAATATGTAGTCTGGGCACGTTGACCCGGGCGTAGATTCAGGCAGGAAAAGCAGATAGATTGTATACCCTCCACGCAAGCCTCACAGCAAGCCCAGTGAAAAAATCAGGTGGCTAGGACCTGAGGGGAGAACCCCGTGGAGTAGAGCACACACGCCGCCTGGACACAGACTCAGACCTTCCTGCTTCATCATCGGGCTGGGCAGGGCTGGTTTCCCACGTCCTCGGGGAAGGCCAAGGACCTGGGCTCGGTGATTCAAGGGCAACAGCACGGGCTACCGTCCTGGGTCCAGGCCCACCCTGGTCTGAACACCCGCTCCCAGACAGCTTCTCTGAAGAAGCCGAGCCCCCGCCCTGACCTAATCAACGCATGTCTTTACAAGAAGCCCCAGTCACTCCGCGGTCTTCTTGAGCCCCGCCTACGGCTACCCAGCCAGACAGCAGAGAAGCCTTAACAGGCTACACTTGCTGCACAGCACCTAACAAGACACACCTTCGCAGCTGGGTGCTTTCTAGCACACTGAATGGGCTTTAAAAACACTGACCGGAGAAGGGCAGCACGGACTCCTGCTTCCCGGGAAGCTGAACATCTGGCCCATCTTCAGGACCCAGCATCCCACCTGCTGGCTCCCCCAGACCTCCCAGACTGCCCCTTTCTGCCTTCAGGAATGACCCTGGTCCTGGGACTTCCCTGCTGGTCCAGTGGTTAAGACTCTGCGCTTCCACTGTAGGGGGCATGGGTTCCATCCCTGGTCAGGGAACTAAGATCCCACATGCCGTGCAGCACAGCCAAAAAAACACCAAGAGATGACCCTGGTCTTAACAGAATGACCACCCTACACCCACAAGTCCTGCACCTCCCCAGCCAGGGACATGAATTGCAGATCTTGGCTTTTCAATGTAACCTGTGTCCCCCCCCCTCCAAAATTCATGTCCTTCCAGGAACCACAGAAAGCGAACTTATTTGGAAATAGGGTCATTGCAGATGTAATTAGTTAGGAGGAGGTCATCCTGAAGTAGCGTGGCCCTCAATCCAAAATGACCGTTGTCCTTAGAAGAAGAGGAGACGCAGAAGCACAAAGACACAGACACAGACACAGACACAGACAGACACACGGCGGGAGAGGGCCATGTGACAGTGACGGTGGACGCAGAGACTGGCGTGCTGCTTCCACAAGCCAAGGAGCACCCAGGACCACCAGCAACACTAGGAGCTAAGAGAAAGGCCTGGAACAGATTCTCCCCTAGACTCTTCGGAGGGACCATGGCCCTGCTGACGTCTTGATTTTGGTTTCTGGCCTCTGGAACTGAGAGAATAAATTTCTGTTGTTTAAGCCACCCAGTTCGGGGTACTTTGTAATGGCTGCCCCAGGAAATTCATATAACCTAGATCTGTTGTAAGCAACCCAGGCACAATGCCACCTGTGGGGAAACAGGACACCTGGTGAAGGTCTGGTCTGATATCCCCTCCCCTCTAAGAGGTGGTGCGTGATAGCATATTTGAGAATTTCAGGGTCCCTGTCCAGGAAACTGGGGATGCTCTCTAGGGTGTTGGGATGTCAGTGCTAGGACACACCTCCCTATCTGGCTTCATATCTAAGTTCCTAACTGCACGTCACCCGTACTGTCTGTGTGAGGACCACCTTGTCCTGTGACATTTGTATGCTTACACATGAGTTCAGTCATCATGGGGATGCCTTTAGGGGTGCTAGGAACGATACCCCAAACCACCGAAAAAAATTAAAGAAGAAAGCTCCCCACCCCTTCCTTACAAGTCACCCTTTTCCTTACAAGTCATGGAGACTGAAACTGCACTTGGGCTGGCCTTGCAGATAGAGTAATAGCTCCAGCCCACAGGTCCTCTTGCAAATACAACCCGGAGAGAAAGGAGGCGCGATGGGCAAGCTTGTTTTCCAAATCATTGCATTCTTCGATAGGAACTTCCTATGTCATCAGAAAGAGTCGTAAAGAGGAGGGAAATGCACTAAGACACGGGAAAGGTGAAAATAAACTCCATCTACTTTATGGTTTCCCTGGTATATTTCTAGATATGATCAACGGTGCTCAGTGGAGAATATTTTGTCCTTAGATCACAAATACTCATGAGCCTAAAGAACTCTCTCTGAAACACACATCTGCTTCCCCTGTTTCTGTAACAAATCAACCCCACCTACCCAGAGCCTGAGACAGAAAAAGTCAGGATGTGCCAGAAACAGGTTCACTCAAATCCCCCAAACGCCAAGCCGTAAGCACTGGGGGCCGCACAGGGCAGATCAAAGAAAGGGCTGGGCCGTCCCCAGGCGTGGGCCGCTGCTGATTTCCAGAGAAGGCTGGAGGCTAGCGTTCCACGTGGCTGTCCTCACAGCCATACTGTGAGTATCGGGGTATTTACATTAACCCCACAAGCCACGCCATACTGGGTGGATTAGTGCAGGAATAAAGCGACAGGTGGAAACACGTTGCGCTGGAGGTAAATTTGTTCCTGGGGGACAGACCAGACGCACATACTCAGCACCATCAGTGACAGCCACCCGGCCAGCTTTGGTGTCCCTGCAGGTGGCACCGCGGCCAAGCGGCTGTGAGCAGCCCCCTGGCAGCCCTGCACCCACCTGAACAATAGCCATCAGTGCCTTACTTTTTCTGGAGCGGGAGAAGAACCGGATGCCCCCGGGCGAGGTAGACGGGTTGGAGTTGGGGGAAGATTCTTTGGACGAGGAACGGAAGATCCCGCTGAAGCTCATGCGGCGGGGGGAGCGCGGCGGGGACTCCTGGTAGGAGAACGGGAACACAGTTTTGGGGGAGCCGGGGCTGGTCTTGGGCCTCACGGGAGCAGACACGGGGCTGGAGGGCCGGTGCTGGGGGCCTCTGGAGAAGAAGCCTTTGGAGGGGCTGCTTGAGCCGAAGGGGCTGTCCACCTGCAGACAGACAAGACAGACAGACGGACGGGTGAGGTCACTCAGAGCCTGTGAGGACCTGTCCCTGTCGTGCCTGCCCTCCCACTGTCCCCCATCATCCAGCTGCTGCCACGACACCCGGCCCGAGAAACAGCCCCACGCTCTTCCACAGACAGAGGCGGCCCAGGGGAAGGACCGGACCCCGGGACGACCCACCCACAGGCCGGGCCGCAGCATCCAGGAGCACACTGGCCTCCACCCAGTTCTCTGGAAGGGTCTTCTGGAGGTGGGGGAGGACAGCCATGCAGTCAAGAAGGCTCGAAACACGGCACCTCCCCCCTTCGTCCTATTTGCGGCCTCGTCTCCTGGCCTTCACTCCTCAAGACCTCGTGCCTGTCCTGCTCGAAGTCTGACTACAGATCTGATCTCTCTGATCTGAAAGACAGTGGGCCCAGGGCTCCATCCTGAGGGGACCCTGGCGTGGGAAGTGATGAGGCTTTCACCTCCAAGCAGCTTCGGCGCTGGAGTGATGGGGGTTGCAGGCAGAGGCCGGGAAGAAAGCGAACAAGGCTGCAAAGCTCTGAGGCTCACTTCGGCGACGGCTTGAAATTGTAGTGATGGTTTCAAAACTTACTGGACTCCATATTTAAGCCAAGGCACACAACTCACAGACTCAGGGAATTTCGAACGTGTCCTGCTGGTGGGTGTAGCAGCTGGCACTCCCATCTGAGTGCCTGGGCCTGACCCGCTCGCCTCTGGGCCACCCTGGAGGTTATGTAGACTCCCTAAGCCTCCGTCTCCTCCTGCGTGAAATGAGGGGCCGTACCTGCCCCTCAGGGACGTCTGAAGGGGCATCGGTCAGACCTGACGCACAGGAATTGGACTCTATACGTGACCTGCTGCCGTCCCGTGGGTAAGCCTGCAACACAGGAGCCAGAAGGGCCTCGGGGCCCACCCAGCTCTGCAGGAGAAAAGGAAAAAACGACGTGTCCCCTGGGCTCTGGGGCAAGCATGAGGCCTGGCAGGGGTCGTGCAGCACACTGAGACCCTGGGCTCCGCACGGCAGGTGACGATCGGTGCACTGCGCACAGGGCAGAGGAAGCCTCCGTGCCTCTATCCACTGGGGTGCCTGCCTGGACCCAGGACCCCTGTGAGCTCCTCCACCACTAGAGGGAGCCCCCGAGCTGGGCTTGAAGTCCCTTAAAGGAAGTGATGCCCTGCGGGGACCCTCAACCGCACGCCCCCTTCTCCCTGAGACCCTCCACCCTGCGTTAAAGGACCAGTGTGGCCATGGCGGGGAGGGGTGCAGAGGCTGGCCCCGTGCCAGTCCCCTCGCCGAGTGGGAATCTGAGGCAGAGGCCGAGCTTCCCCAGAGCCATATAACTCAGGCTCTCCTCCTTATGGAGTTCAGGGTTTTCTTTTGCTAACCATTTGGTGTGAATAGCATCTAGATTCTCTGCCTCTAGAGCATTGGGTTCAGCCACTACCAACCCGCCTACGGGACTCAGGCTTTCTGGGGCTTTTCTGCATCCTAAGAGTAATGAACACAGAGCTTTTGGAGCAGCGGGCGGCGTGCGCCTGTGGACGTGGGGGTGGGGCGTAGGGACAGCAGGCCCAGGGGTGGAGGAAGACCCCACGGCAGGGTGGTACGTGTCAGGGTTCGGGACAAAGATACAGGAGTCTGAATCCCAGCTCAGTTTCCAGCAGTGACAAGTGACCTACGTGTCAGTGTTCTCATGTATCCAATGGGGACACTAGGCCGACTCGCAGGGTCGTCAAGATGACAGGATATATACAAGGGAAGCACCTGCCACACAGGTACACAGCAGGTGTACACAGCAGGTACGTGTACATGATGGTACACAGCAGGTACGTCTGGGAGGTCAGCCCTCACTGTCACGAATTCGCTACAAAGAGACCCTTGGTAGACGTGGAGAGTCGGGGAGGCTGGGCTGATTTACGGAAAGACTCCACGTGGGGTGAGAACCTGACCCTCCTTTGAGGGGGAACCACAGAGCTCTTCAGCACGGGGGCAGGGGGGACACGGTCATTTAGGGCAGACGTTCTAGTGGCCTGTCACCATCACCCTCTGGGTGCCACTGAGCCTGGAGCTCAGAGAGGGCGCTGGCTGGAGGCTGAGGGAAGGCCCCAAAGCTGGTAAGTGGTGGGCGGGACCTCAGGCCCACGGCCTTGACCCTCACACCATTCACCTCCCGAGAAAAGCAGAAACGGCCACGTGAAACGGAAGAGGAGTCAAGGTCAAGCTTGAAGGCAGAGGGAGGGAGTCACAGTAGGAGGCCAGCCCCGCTGCTGCCCCATCCCCTCCACACTGCACAGTGAGCTCTGCCTAGGGAGGAGGGATTGCTGAGCAAAGCTGACGCTCACTGCACGCAGGGAACAAGATGTGGGCAAGGATGGGGTCCCCGCGAGACCCTGGAGAACAGCAGGCAAGACAGGGCTGCCCTGAGAGTGGCCCAGACGGGGAGAGATTTTAGAGGGAGACAGTGCCCATCACGGGGCCCTGAAGCAGGGAAGGCGCTGAAAGCCGACGGGCTGTGGACAGGCCGATGGGCAGAGGTGTCCCAGGGTCGGGGGGAGAGAGGAGCTGGAGCCGGGAGGACAGACAGACAGCCACTCACTTGGGCCACCGCGGACGGGTCACCGGGGCAGGTTGAGCCAAATGGCAGTCTCGAAGGGCCTGGGTGCCGGTTTGAACCTTACCTGGCGGGCAAGGGGAGCCCTAGGATTCTCCGACTGGGACTGATTCCAATTCCGGGCTCAGAATTGCAGGCCAAAAGGGCCAGGCACTCAGCCATTGGGCTTCAGGAGGGGGCTCCAGAAAGCGGGCCCTCTCCCCACACGGCCAGACAGTGGTGGCTGTGGCCCATCCCGGCCTTGTCCCCCGTGTCTCCCGCCCTGACCCTGGCGAGGGGGCGGTGGCGCTGGGCCCCCGGGTCTGCTTCCTGTAGGTTGGGAGGGGTGGCGTGGGTATCGGCACGATCACAGCCATTGGGGACAGAGCCCGTGCCTCTTAGCAAGCTGCAGTAAATTGACACCTTGCTAAATGTAAGGGCACGTCTCCCGAGGCGTAAACGTGAACGAAGGGCCCAGAGCCTCCCGAGTGCCTGCCGGCTCTGCAGAGCTACGCGGCGGGCTCTCAGGCCTCCGCGAGCAGAGCTTCCAGGCCCACCTCTGTCTGCCACTGCAGGGAGGGCCGCGGGGGCCAGGGCCAGGCCACCCGGTGCTTGGTCTCAGCCCCGAGGATGCAGGAAAGCGAAGAGGAGGGTTGCACGTGTGAAGGTGAGCGAGGGGTCCGCGGGGCTGGCCTCGACGGTGACTGACAGCTGGGCACTGGGCACCCCTTGGGAGCCTGAGGGAAATGGGTGTGGGCGAAGGGGTTAAAGGTGAAGGGCGCCAGGAAAGGGGGGCTGAGTTGGACAAAACCTCGAGGTGAGGGTCTGTGGAGCCCGACTCAGGCTGGGGAGGTGTGGAGGCTGTGCCTGGGATGCAGGACACGGCCAGTGCCCTCGGGGCCAGTGTGCTAATGGTGCGTGGCTCCGGTCTGAGTCCCTGTGTGCTCCAGACAGAAAGGGGCTGGCGTTCTCGGCAGGGGGAATGGAGGAACAGTGCACACGGCCAGCAGTGGACAAGAGGCCCCGAGCCACGTCTAAGGCCTGGCCAGATGCCACGTTCCCGACGGCTCAGGTAAATGGGTCGTGGGTGCACCCCTTCACGGTGCTCCGAAGTGGGGGATGTCCTGAGGCCACGCCTGCGTTCCCAGACTGTCCCTGAGCACGTGTCCTGGGCCAGTCACTGCTCTACGTCTGCTCCATCGACAAGCTCATTGAATCCTCATAAGTAAAGGTGAGCACCGCCACGAGCCCGGGTTTGCCGATGGGGAGACAGGTTCACAGAGAATATCTTGTCCCGGGTCACACAGAAGGGAAGCTGCCAGGAAAAATGAACAAAGGAGCCGGGCTCCCCATCCCAGGATCAAGGGACACAGACAGGAAAACCTGTGGGCATCTGGGCGAATGCCCCAGACCAGGCCATGCTGGCTGACCCAGAGTGACCACAGTGGTGTTGAATGATCCCAGGGACGTCGATGGCACTGACCTACCTCCCAATGCTGGCCTGGGAGCTGCACACAGAGCTGTGCAGAGTCAAGGTGACCATGAAGCTCTTGTACCGAGATGTGTTATGTAACACAGAGCTGCCTCCTCTGGGAACAGGGGAGCCAGGAGAGGGGACAGGTGGGAAGACCAGGCAGCTCCCATATCAACCGATGCTTGGGAACGCAGGGTTGGCATCGTTGTTGGTTTTATTTTTGGCTGCGCTGCGTGGCTTGTGGGATCTTAGTTCCCTGACCAGGGATCGAATCCGTGCCCTCAGCAGTGGAAGCGCGGAGTCCTAACCACTGGACTGCCAGAGAAGTCCCAGGGTTGGCATCCTTGAGTCCAGAACACCCATAAAGGGGAGCTCAGCTGTGGCCCCTCCACTGAACTCTGAGTGTACCTAGATGGGAGAGGAGGCCGCCAAGTGTCCAGTCCACATTCAGCTTGGCAGTCCCTGAGGATTTTCAGTCCCCTAAGGAGATGGGGGTCTTAGTCACAGGGTACAAAGATGCAGAGATGATCCAGAAAGGGCAGAAAGCCTCCGTGAGGTACCTGTCCGGCCGAGGACACTTCCCTGCATGGCCTGCACCACTGGCCCCAGTTCAGGGTGTCCAGACGCAGTGCAACGCACACCGGGCTGAGCGCCAAGAAACCCAGACTGAAGCCGGCTCAGTTATTAGGCAGCCCCGTGACTGTGGGAAAGTCTTTCCACCATCCTGAAGTCCAGTTCCTTCATTTAAAACCCAAGTGTAGGTGCTGCATGGGACCCCAGGACCTTTGCACAATCTAGGAAGGAAGTCCCAATAACGATGGAGATTCACATTTCCCATCAGCCTGGTGGGATGAGGGACGTGGAGCCTCCAGGGCCAAAGAATTCAGCCTAGCTCTTGTCTCTGCTCTCAGACACTGCCCACGGCAGCCCCTCCCAAAGCCTCGGCCCACCAGCCGCCCCAGCCGTCTGCCGCACACTCACCCTGACCGCGGGCCACCTTGACCTCCCTTTGTTTGCCATGGCCAACCCACCCACCCCGGGATGCGCACTCCTCGGCTGCCTGCCCTCCACGGCTCCAGCTTCCTCTGGAGGAAAAACTGACCAGCGGGAGAGGAGAGAATGTGGGTTAAAGAGAGGAAAGGGAAAGGGGGAAAGAGGACGAAAGGGAGAGGAACGGGCAGGGAGAAGGGGCTCCCGTCTGCGGGGGAGACAGTTGGTCTCCACATCCCGATTTCACTAATGCTTTCAACCTCCTCTCTTCGCTAATCAGCTCCTCGGGCGCTCAGGGTGCTCAGCTCACTGTCAATCTTCGGCATCACCTCTGCCCTCTTTGGGGAGTCCCGTGGCCGCGGACGAGCCCAGAGGGAAGAGGAGAGAAGAGAAAGGAGTGAAGCCTGGCAGGTGTGAGGCTGAGCTCAGCAGCAGCCAGGTGCACGGGTGGGAGCGCAGGTCAGAGCACAGGTGGGAGCACAGGTGGGCATGTAGGTGGGAGCACAGGTGGATGTACAGGTGAGAGCACGGGTGGATGTGTCTTGGGTTCGCGCTGAGGGAGTTCTGCCTCAGTGGCACCTCAGGTGAGCCGTGAGAAGCTGTGAGGAAGGTGGCTTACCTTACGAGAAGGATGCTTTTCTGAACTCTCCAGGTCTCCATCCAGGAGCGGCATGGCAAAGGAACTCAGGTCCTAGGACGGAAAGAGAGCACGTGGTCAACGACCTGGACCCTCAGGTGCCCATCTGGCCTCGTCCAGGGCCACTCCTGGCTCTCCGTGTGTATCACCACCCCCTCCCTGAGACCTCCTCGAATGTCAAGTCCCAGGGAGGACGCGGAGGGCCAACAAGGTGAAAGGAGGGGTGGAGACGTGCTGGCCCCCCTCGGAGATCCTGACCCTCCTCCAGCTTCCCTTCCCGTCCCCCCAGGGGAAGGAGCAGGAAGAAGAGGCTGGGACCGCAGGGCAGAAGGAAGAGAGCAAGGGAGGAAAAGCAGAAAAGGGGGGGCAAAGCCCACCGCAGCGCTCAGGACTTCATTTCATGACGCGAATGTGGCCCAAGGAAGTGTGTCCTCCTGGAAAGATGGCAGGGCCGCATGGGAGGGCTGGCCGCTAGGGCAAAGCGGTCAGAAAGGCCTGATGACATCGTGGTCCAGAGAGATGGCCTTGGGGGGAGCAGCTCGCCAAAGACTCGTGGTGTCAAAAATGAAGTCATCACGTCACCCTCACCCTGCTCCCCTTTCCTCCTGTGTCTTGCCCGGTGGACACCTCCATGCCTGGGCAGGAACCGCACCTGGGCAGTCCTCCACCAGGAGAAGCTGCCTGCATCCCTAACCTTTTGGTTTTTTTCTTTTTTCCTTTTTTATTGTGGTTAAAATACATGTACACAAGGTTTACCATCTTAACCATTTTAAGTGTACAGTTCAGGGCAGTTAAGCACATTCACGCTGTTGGGCAACTAACCTCCAGGGCCCTTCCCTCTGCAAACTGAAACCCCATATGCATTTGACAACCACCCCCCAGCCCCCTGCCCCAGCCTCTGGCACCCCCTGCCCCCATTCTACTTTCTGTCTCTATGAATGTGACAACTCTAGGGACCTCATGTAAGTGGAATCGTACAGTATTTGTCTTTCTGTGACGGGCTTATTTCACTTAGCATAATGTCCTCAGGTTCATCCGTGTTGTAGCGTGTAACAGAATTTCCTTCCTTTTAAAGGCTGAATCATGTTCCATTGTATGGATAGACCACATTTTGTTTATCTGTTCATCCATCAAGGGACACAGGGTGCTTCCACACCCTTTGGCTACTGTGAATAATGCTATGAACACAGGTGTTATGGATTGAACTGCGTACCCCTCAAAACTCATAGGTTTGAAGTTCCCACCCCATTATCTCAGAATGTGACTGTATTTCACTGCTGAGGGCACGGGTTCAATCCCTGGTTGGGGAACTAAGATCCCACAAGCCACGCAGCGCGGCCGAAAAAAAACCAACAACGATGCCAACCCTGCATTCCCAGATAGAGAGGGTCTTTGAAAAGGTAATTACGTTAAAATGAGGTCATATGGATGGCCTCTCTAATAAGACTTCAATCCAGTAGCACTAGTGTCCTTATAAGAAGAGGAGATCAGGAAAGAGACACAGAAGTAAGACACATGAAGACACAGAGAGAAGATGGCCATCTATGAGCCAAAGAAGGAGTTTCTCAGAAGAAACTCACCCTGCCGACACCCTGACCTTGGACTTCTAGCCTCTACAATTGTGAGAAAATAAATTTCTGTTGTTTAAGCCACCCAGTCTGTGATACTTTGTTATGGCAGCCCTAGTAAACTAATACAGTGGGTGTACAAATATCTCTGCGACCCTGCTTTCATTTCTTTCGGGTATATATCCAGATGTGGAATTGCTAGATCACACAGTAATTTATTTTTAATACTTTTGAGGAACCCCCATACTTTTTCCATAGCAGCTGCACCATTTTACATTCCCACCAATGGTACACAAGGGTGCCAATTTCATCCTCACCAATACTTGTTATTATTTTCTGTTTTACTTTAGTTTTTGTTTTTTATGGTGACCATCCTAATAGGTATGAGACGGTATCTCACTGTGGTTTTGATTTGCATTTCCCTAATGATTAATAATGTTGAGCATCTTTTCTTGTGCTTGTTGGCTATCTGTATATCTTTTCTAGAAAAACGTCTATTCAAGAAGCCCTTTGACTATTTTTTAACCAGCTTGTTTGTTGCTGAGCTGGTAGGATTTCGTTATATAATCTGGATATTAACCTTTTATCAGATATATGAATTGCAAGTATTTTTTTCCCATTCTGTAGGTTGCCTTTTCACTGTGTGGATTGTGTCCTGTGGTGCACAAAAGTTTTTAATTTTGATGTAGTCCAATTTATCTGTTGATATTTTTATCAATACTTTGTTGCCTGTGCTTTGGTGTCATACCCAAGAAATCATTGCCAAATCCAATGTCATGGAGGTTTTCCCCTATTTTCTTTAAGTTTTACAGTTTAAGCTCTTATGTTTAAGTCTTTGATCCATTTTGAGTTACAGAAGTTCCCCCCCGCCTTATCAGCAGTTTTGCCTTCCAACGTTTCAGTTACTTGAGGTCAACCAGGGTCCAAAAGTATTTAATGGAAAATTCCAGGGAATTCCCTGGTGGTCCAGTGGTTAAGACTCCATGTTCCCAATGCAGGGGGCCCGGGTTCGATCCCTGGTCAGGGAATTAAATCCCACATGCATGCCGCAACTAAGAGTCCACATGCCACAGCTAGAAGACCCCGCGTATCTCAGTGAAGATCCTGCATGCGGCAACTAAGATCTGACGCAGCCAAATAAATAAAAAAATAAGGGGGGGGGGGAAAAAAGAAAATTCCAGGGACTTCCCTGGCAGTCCAGTGGTTAAGACTCTGTGCTTCCACTGCAGGGGGCATGGGTTCATTCCCCGGTTGGGGAACTAAGATCCCACATGCCTCACAGCGTGGCCAAAATAATAATAATAACATAAAATAAAAATTAAAAAAAAAGAAAATTCCAGAAGTAAACAATTCAAAATTCCAGAAATAAACAATTTTGTTTTTTGAATTTCGTGCCATTCTGAGTAACTTGATGAAATCTTGCACTGTCCTGTTCTGTCCCGCCTGGGACGTGAGTCGTCATCCCTTTTCCAGCGTATATCCACACAGTACATGTGCTACCCCCTTGCCAGTCACTTAGTAGCCGTCTTGGTTATCTGTTCGACTGTTGCGGTACCACAGTGTTTATGCTCACACGATCCTTATTTTACTTAATAATGGCCCCAAAGTGCGAGAGGAGGGACACTGGCAATTTGGATATTCTCTTACTGAACCTACTTCATAAATTAAACTTTATCCTAGGTATGTATGTATAGGAAAAATCATAGTATCCATGGTTCAGTTCTATCCACGGTTTTAGGCATCCACTGGGGGTTTTGGAACATATCCCCTATGGATAAGGGGAACTACTGTAATTTTTATATATTGTATAATAAGGTAAGGGTCCAACTTTATTCTTCCACATGTGGATATCCAATTTTCCCAGCACCAAGTATTGCAAAGACTATCTTCTCCCAGTGAATGGTCTTGGCACTTTTGCTGAAAATCATTTGGCCATATACGTATGGAAGAGTTTCTTTCTGGACTCTTTGTTCTATTTCATTGGTCTATATGTCTGTCTTTATGCCAGTACCACATTGTTTTGATGATTGTAACTCTGTAATAAGTTTTGAGCTCAGGGAGTGTGAGACCTCTAACTTTGTTCTTTTTTTTTTTTTCCAAGATTGTTTTGGTTACTTGGGGTCCCTTGAGAGTTCATACAAATTTTAGGATGGATTTTTCTATATCTGAAAAAAAATGCCATTGGGATTTTGATAGGGATTGCATTGAATCTGTAGATGACTTTGGGTAGTATTACCATCTCAATATTAAGTCTCCAATCCATGTACATGGGAGGTCTCTCCATTTATTTGTGTCTTCTTTAATTTATTTCAGCAACGTTTTGTAGTTTTCTGTGTACCTAATCTTTCTTTTAACCCCTTCCACCCTCCCAACCCCTCTGCTGTGGGGTCCAGGTCTGCACCCTCCCTTGCCCAGCTCTCTTTTGGGTTTCCTAATTGTTCTCCAAATCTTTCAGCTTAGCCTGTTTCAAGCTATCTGCAAACCTCTGCTAGAACAGTGATTCCTAAAACCGTGGCCCCATTATGCTGGCCTCTGCCCTAAAGCCCCAGGGCCTCCACCATAGCCTAGGCAATGACTCCCACACCTAGTCCACTGGGACTTGCTGGCAATCTCTTACGTAGGCAGATTCCAGACTCAGCCCCTCTGGTGCTGGTTTATTTCAGCATCCCAGGCTGGTTGCACCTCGGGAGTTGGGTCCCACCACAGAGTCGATTGGTCTGCGGTGCAGTGCAGGCTTCACGGTGATTCGGCCGGCAGCCCAGGCGGGGAGCCACCAGCTTCCCATGGGTGATTCACAGTCAGGAGCTCTCAGTCGGGCCCTGCAGGCTCCAATACAGGCCCCGTGGATTTGCCGACCTCTGCAGCCTTATTTCTGATGTGCTCTGCACCCCGTCTCCTTCTTTCAGCAAGAGCCCAGGCAGGATCTTGATAGCTTTTTAAACACAGCTGTGCGTCTGTGGACACGTTGCCTGGAATGCTGTCTCAGCTCCTCAGTTCAAGGTCACCCTTCGCCAACCGTACAACCCCTTCCTGGGAGAACAGACTTCGCTTCACTTGGGTCCCTGCAGGACGGAGCTGGCTGTCCCTCTGAAGCTTGAAGCCCTTGCCTCCTGCCCACTTGCCTCCAGCTCCCAGCCCGAAGATCCTGGCTCACAGGGTGAACTCCTACTGTCATGCAAAGCCCAATTCAGATACGATCCCTCAGGCAGAATTCATTCTTCTCTTATCTGTGCTACCACAGTACCTTAGACTACCTTTATTACAGGACTTATCGTGCTATCTTAATACCATTTATCAGTCTATTTCTCTAACTGGACTGTGAACCAGTCAAGGGTGAGGGGAAATCATTCATCTCGCTATTCTGCGCCACATGCAGCAGGTGTGCAGAAGTGACTGAATCAACTCCTGGACAAAGCAGCCCCTGCCCCGGCAGCACGTGTAGGGGGTGCACGCCTGTGCTGATGGGCAGGAGGGGCGGCGAACGGG